CGGGCCCGCTGTTGGGCTGGGGCGCCCGTCCGCCTTTCCGGGGGCCGGGGGAGATTTGAGGAACCGGCCTGAAGTACGGGGCAGCGCCGCAGAAGCTGCCGGCTTGCAGCTTGGGCTGTTCGTTTTTCTGTTTTGTTTCTCCGGTGCCAGGAATCGAACTCAGGACCCTGCGCTCGCCAGGCAGGCGCTTCGCCGCTGAGCCGCATCCCCGGCCCTGGGGGTGTCTGTTCGCTTGTTTGTTTTTAACCTCGCTGCGTTCCGCGCTTCCAGAAACTGGGCTCCTGGCGGCTTCCCGAGCCCCGCTTTGCGCCGGGCGCGAGGCTCCCCGGAGCATGGCCGCAGCCCGGGACGCCCAGACCCGCGCGCCCCTGGAGGCGGACGGCTGCGTCGTCATGAAGGTGGAGAAGGACCCCGAGTGGGCGGCGGAGCCCCTGGCGCGGGGATCGGGCGGCGCCGAGTGCGAGACCTTCCGCAGGTGCTTCAGGCAGTTCTCCTACGAGGGTGTGACCGGCCCCCACGAAGCGTTCAGTAAACTCTGGGAACTTTGCTGCCGGTGGTTGAAGCCCGAAACGCGGTCCAAAGAACAGATGCTTGAGCTGTTGGTGATTGAACAGTTTCTCACCATTTTACCCAAGAAGTTCCAGGCCTGGGCCCAGAGACAGTGTCCGGAAAGTGGCGAGGAGGCGGTGGCCCTGGTCGTCCATCTGGAGAAAGAGACGGAAAGACTGAGACAGCAGGTGAGAAAGGATTCTGCAAAGATTTTTGCATTTCGTTTTGTTTTGTTTTTTTCCGGTACCGGGAATCGAACTCAGGACCTTGCGCTTGCCAGGCAGGCGCTGTGCCGGTGAGCTAAATCCCCAGCCTGGTTTTTGTATTTTAAAAAGAAGGCGGGTCTACGGCCATACCACCCTGAACGCGCCCGATCTCGTCTGATCTCGGAAGCTAAGCAGGGTCGGGCCTGGTTCGTACTTGGATGGGAGAAGGCGGGAAAGGCGGGTGAGCAAGGATGAGTGACAGAAAGAAGCGCTTATTACGGAACGATAAATGGCACCAGTGAAAGACCCCTAAGGTGAATCCACTTAAAAGGGGATCAGCGCTTCATTTTAAACAGAAAGGGGAGAACTTGTGCCTGAAATATTATCTCGCGAATGAAACCTAAACACTACACACCTGAGTATTTGTTTTGCTCTTTGACGTAATATTTGCAGCAGAATTATATGAGAGAGGGATATGGTTATGCTTCACAGGGTTTGACGTGTGCAGCTTGATCCTAAAGAGGACTACCAAAGGAAAAAAAAAGCTTCATCAGTTTTGCAAAAATCTTCTCTAGTCCTTTAATATTCCACTCAGTGTTTTTCGAAAGCCTCTCAGTGGCATGATCTTGTCACTCTTCTCCAATTTAACTGCTAGATCTTCATTTCTTTCATTAATCTCCTGCAGTCCCGTAGTCTTTGCCAGGTTTGTAGTTTCCTCACACAGGTTTCGCCCTGCATAAAGATCTGACTTGTCAGCAGGTTACTGTGTTGGTCAGTAATAGATGGATGTGGGGAATAATTTTGTAACTTTTCAGCTCCCTGCTCAATACGTTCACATTCTCAGAAATTCTCTGTGAGCCTAAAAATGATGTAAGAACTCAAATAACATCTATTCTAGTAACAGGGGAGCTCTGTATTTCACTCCTGATTGATTTGCTCCATCTTATCAGAAATAAAAAATGCACTCTTGTTTCTTCATACCCGAACTCCTACTTGGTTCTGTGAGGCTAACACCTTTGTGCAATTCCACTGGACTGACGCTCTCAGTCCTTCCCACATCTGTTCCCCTGCAGTATTGTTCTTGGGAGAATCTGACCCTGATTTACATCTCTTCCCCACCCGCTTTCCCAGGTCAGCAGTCCTGTACACTCGGAGAAGCAAGCCCCACTTGGAACAGTGTGGGAGGTAGCAGATTTTCAGCCAGAGCAGGTGGAGACCCAGCCCAGGGTCGTGTCTGGGAAGGAAGCTGGAAGCCTCCACTCAGGACACCAGGAACAGCTGCATCAAAAGCGAGAGCACAGGCCGTTACCCAGGAATGGTAAGAAGTTCTTCGAGCGGGCCCTCTGCGGAGACCATGGCAGGTTTAGACAGTGATGCTGTAACATACTCAGTGTAGAGTCCCCTTGATGTGTATCTGAAAATGAGTTAAATAGTTGGGAAGGCCGGGCGTGGTGGCACACGCCTGTAATCTCAGCACTCGGGAGGCCAGATTGCCCAGGCCAGCCTTGAGTCTTTTAATGTTATTTTAAAATCTCCATTTGGTTCCTCAGCTTGTGTTTTCAGTCCTGCCCTGGGCCTGTGTGCTCTTAGCTGGTTATAAACAATTTGAAAAACTGGAAGGGAACCAAGATATTTATGTTTCCAGAGTTAAGGCATCACAAAATGGATTGGAGAGGGATACACAGTGAGACTTCACAGAGATCCTTACAGCTGCCCTGTATGTGAACGGGTCCAGTTAAATACAAGGACGTGGATCACAGTGTCCTTGCCAGTTCAGTTACTGCTCCATCTCCTGAATGGAAAGATCCCAGGACCTACCGTCAAAAGACTGTGTCTTTTCTCTGCCCCTTCTGTCTGATCTTAGGCAAGAAATAGGAAAAGTAGCATGAATGTGTAGAGGTGAAGGGCTTGGGCCTTGGAGGCGTACAGACCTGGGTTCAAACCTGAAGTGTTCCATTTTTATCTGTGTAACCTTGGTCAGGTTCCTTCACTCCTCAAGCTTTCCATTTCTTTCTCTCATAATGACACAGTTAAACTTCAGGTCTACCTGACTTACACAGTCATTCACCGAGAGATGATTCAGCCCCTTCTCCACCTCTGTTCCCGCCCCGTATTGTGTTCATACTGTGCATGATAGAATGCATTACAAATACTGGTGGAGTCTGAATTACTCAAGAGTTTATGCATTAGCATCAAAGCTCCCTTGATCACGTGGATCAGGTGGCTCCAGTGACTAGGTGATAGGTTTAGTCCAGCAATTACCTATTTGCGGTATTTTTGGCTTTTACCATCTCAAAGTGATAAGGAATTCTTAAAATAAAGAAGATTTTTCTGTCAAGATACTGACTGGAGTATGGAAGATAGAGAATTTGAGATACAGGTATCTCAGAATAGTGACTTCGTCCCAAAGGGAGATTTGTGATTTTATCTGTGTCTTTCAGGGAATATGTTTCCAGGGAAATGATTTGAGCTGCTTCTTTAGCAATGAGTGGGGCAGCTTTTGAGTTCTTGGTGACAAATGATAGTTATTCTGTTAATTTCTTTTTTATTAGAAGTCTGCAATATATATTAATTACGTTCATCTTGGGGAAGTGCTACATATACATATATTGCATCTTAGTCACTTTTACTTCCGCTTCCCCTCCCTGCCTTCCTCTCTATGACAGGTATTCTTAATGTTTTTCCTAGATAGTGAGTTTCAGGGAAAAAGTTAGACCACAGATATACTGTATAAAAGTTTTTGTGTCTTTTTTCCACTCGTAGAGGGTATATTTGCCTGTATTTGTCCATTACTATGTGTCTGTGTTTGCTAAGTTCTTCGTGACAGTTGCCGTTCATAGAGACTTAACTTACACTGAAGTTTGCAGAGTGTTAATTTGCACACCAAACCAACTTGTGTTGGTTCACCCACAAATAGTTTTCATTTGGACATTTTGTTTTGCTTTCAGTTTTCAAAGTTTAAGATTTGAGATTTCATAAAAGTGTAGATTCCTGATGTCTCTTGGAGAAAATTAGAAACTCCGTCTCTACCAGTGCCACAGTCTCCTGTGGAAGCATGCGTGGAGCTTTGGCCGTGCGTTTCCCACGGGGCCTGTGCTCTGCAGTTCCCCATGGTCCCAGTCAGGCTCCGTCCGCCAGGTACTTTACCTGCCTTCCCCCGAAACCATTTGCGTTTGTAAGCTGACTTTAAGGTGGTGTAATTTGGGGCATTGTTCTGAAATTCATTGAAAAAATGATCAGGTTATATCAGTTGGCTTTAATACATGTCATTTCTTAAAAGGAGAAAAATCTGAATGAAAGGGCCACACTCCAGAACACTCATTGTCTCTTTCTCTTTCTATAGTTCGGGCTTCTCCTTGGGTTCCTGCCCCTGCTGATGAATGGGACACCATAGATCAGGAGGTGACAGCCACACACCTTCCTGCTAGGTCCCAGGTAAGCTGTGATTGTCCTCTCTGTCTTCTTCCAAGGGCGTTCAGGCATAGTCTGTCCAAGAGACATTTTCCCCCTTAATTGTTTTCCAGAGAAGATTGTACCTCGTCTTGTGAGCAGTGGTACTGCTTGCTGTACGTCTCCCTCTTCCTTCTCTGCTTTTTCCATAACCGTTCATCCTTTGAAGCTCCGTGGATTTATCTTGGTAGTCATCGGTGTTAGTGTTGTTACAGGAGCCAGTGAAAGACGTCCACGTGATAAGAGGTTTTTCCCACAAAAAGAGCGTGCATCAGCTCCCTGTTCACAGAGACCTGTACCGGGAAATCAGGAAGGAGAGCGTTGGGAACACAGCCTCCCCGGGTAAGGGTTCTTTCCCTTTACAAGTAAAAGACCTGGACATCGCTAATGTATTCACTCTTACAGATAATAAAATAGTCGGATGTAATTGTTAGTGCCTAAGGGATCATCATGGTCCTTTAGTTAATCATTTATCCACATTCTCTTACTTCACCCCTTCCCTTACTCTAATAAGAAAAATATACCCCAATAATTTAGTAATCGAAAGACGAATGACTGAGTAGTTAATATATGGCAGAGTAATATATAACTGTCATATTTATATTGTGGAAAATACAAACTTGGTGGGGGTTTTTTGGGTACTGGGAATCGAACTCACAGCCTCATGCTTGCCCGGTAGGCACCGTGTCTCTGAGCTATATCCCCGCCCCTGGAAAATATAAACTTACACACGTCCACTAAACTAAAAGCTCCATAAAGTCACGAGGTCTTTTCAGGATTTGTTTTTATTTAACAGTGGTAACCCTAACACCTAACGCAGGGCACCTGACATGTGGGTGACCTGTGAGTGGCTGCACATTTGTTGCATGGAGAGAAATCTTAATAAGAAAGTAATTTAAATATAATAACCTTGATAGCATGTTACAAATTATTTAAATAACTCAAATTTATGTGGCACACATGGCCACTTAAGTGTTGCTCTACAAGCAGATTTTTAGGAAATTATCTTTATCTGCTTTAACAGATGGAATAAGTACGATTCATTCATATGCTGGCTTTTTTTCATTAGTCAAATTCTAGTTATGAATACAATTTTATTGTGCACCAATTTACAAACAAAAGGTATAAATTGTGTAAATAAGAGATCCTATAACCCTGTTCTTTCTTTTTTTTTTTTTTTTTCCCAGTACCGGGAACTCATGACCTTGTGCTTGCCAGGCAGGCGCTGTGCCGCTGAGCTAAATCCCCAGCCCCTTAACCCTGTTCTTTCTAATGTTAGCCTTAGCCGCGTGAGGCTATTCAAATTTCAATAGATTACATTAATAAAAGTTAAATAAAATTTAAAATTCAGTTCCTGTCTGGCATGGCCATACCTAAGATACTTACCAGCCGTGTTGGACAGCATATATAGAACGTTTCCACCATCACAGAAGGTTCTGTTGGACATGCTGCACACTAAAGTAGAGACTGTGAAATGAGCCACATCTAACTGAATAGACGAAGGCACACCAATAATCTGTTACTAGAAATAAGTTAAAGCAGTTCAAAGTGGCTAGCTTAAAGTGACACCCAGTAGCACAGCAATCACTGGAAAGTAACTGGCAGCCAGCTCTCTGCCTAGTAGTTCACACAGTGCGTGCTTCTCCCACTCGCTTGGCTCATGTGGCGCCCAGTCCTGGTGAAGTGCTGGATTAGAGTCCTCGGTAAAGTCTGCCCCTAGTGGGAAGGGACCGCACTTGCAGAATTGAAGTGTAGTCTAACCGCTTTATGCACAATTGCATGTGAAACGATCTCAGTCAAGACGCCCCACTACTTTTTTGTAGATCGTAGAGGAATGGCTCGTGGGCTAACCCTGGCCCATGCACATACTTTGTCCCGCACAGTGTTGAATTTCCAGTGGGTCTTGAAAGATCAGACATCAGGCGCTGGGATCCCACCTCCAACACAGCCCCAGTTGGCCAGAGCCGAGTACAGGGCTCGTCCCCGACTGCCAGTGTCCCCGTCCTGGCCGCCTCACTTACGCCCTTGGCCTGCCTAAGCCAGACCGGCGTCGGCGCCTACACTGGCGGCACACCTGCTTCTCACACGGAAAAGTAAAGAGCAACTCCACCCCCGATTTCTTTCAAAAGGCTTTGACTTGATGTTGCCTCTCTAGAATTTTTCCAGCAGCTTTTTGGGTAGATGGTGATATTCCTTAGGAAACTGAGGCTGAGAGGTTAAGAAACTTCTGCTGGTGAAAAAGTAAAGTAAATCGTGTGACTAGGATTCAAATTTAAAATGTGCTGATCTCTTCAGTACTGTACCAAACTCTGAATCTGCTTCCTGCTTCTATATTTATTTTCTATTAATTTTACCAGAATGTCTCCAAGAGTTCCTTTTTTAGTTAATGAAATATGTTGTTTTCAACAAATATTTATGGAAAATGTACCTGTACCAGTAATTTTACAACACAGTCATAGATTGTGTTTGTCTTTCATGTAATAGAAAGGGGATTTCAGTCTTTTTTGGGGAAAAAAATGTATCTTTCGTGTGTCTCATACCATGAAGCTAAGTTGTAAAGCTTTTCTGCACACCCCCATAACTGCCTTAAGAGCAACAACTTCACTTTATTTCTTTGATATATGTCGTTTTGAGTTCCTCTGAGTTGTTGTTTGAAAATTAAGTTTATTAGCCAAAAACTTTTTCCAGCATTATTAAGACATAATTGACAAATAAAAATGTATATGCTTAAGATGTAAAACTTGATTATTTTATACATATTGTGAAATAACTACCAAAATTATATTAATTTAAACATCCATCACCTCGGATAGTTAAGTGGCAGGAGACAGTTAAAATCTCCTCCTGCCAGGCAAAGTGGCACACACCTATAATCCCAGCCCTTGGGAGGCTGAGGCAGGAGAATTGCTGTGAACTCAAGGCCAAAATGAACTCCATTGTGAGATTGTCGCAAAGAAAAACAAGATCTACTCTTTTAGCAGATTTCAAGCATACAGTATCATTAACTGTAGTCACTATGCTGCGCATTAGCTCCCTAGGACTTGTTTCTCTTAGAAGGGAAGGTTATAAGTCTTGACCAGTATCTCCCCATTTCTACCCCAAGGCCCTTGGCAACCACAGCTGTAGCCTGATTTCAACCTTTTTAGATTCTACATACAAACACAGGCAAATGGGATTTATCTTTCTCTGTCCAGCTTATTTCACTTTGCATAATGCACTCTGGATCCATCCAGGGTGGTACAAGTAGCAGGACTGTTTTTCTTTTTATGACTGAATACTCTATTTGATAGATAGATAGATAGATGATAGGTAGGTAGGAAGAATACATATATACATTTTTTTCTTTATTTTCACATTTTCTTTATCCATCCTTTGACAGACATTTAGGTTGTTTTTACATCTTGACCATTCTACAGTGAATGTGAGAGTGCAGATATCTTAAGATACTGATTGGTTTTCCTTCAGATATATACCCAGGAATAGGATTGTTACTCTTGTGATAGTTCTAGTTTTAATTTCTTGAGGAACCTCCATAAGACATCACAATGGCTGTACCAACTTCACTACCATCGCTAGGGTACAGGGCTCCATTTTCCACATGTTCTCTCCAGCACTTCTTGTATCTTTCTGCTGTTAGCAGTTCTGATAGGTGTGATACGGTAACCTCTTGTGGTTTTGATTTGCTTTCCTTGTTAGCTAGTTATGCTGAATACCTTTTCATGAACCTGTTGACCTTTTGTATATCTCCTTTGGGAAAATATCTTACCAGGTCTTTTGCCCATTTCAGATTAGATTTACGTATGTATTTCTATCACATTTTACGATTCCTGATGTGCTTTAGACAGTAACCACTTATCTGATAGATGACCTGAAAATACTTTTTCCATACTGTAAGTTATCTCTGCATAATATTGACTGCTTCCTTTTCTGTGCAGACGCACCTTAGTTTAATGTATTCATACTTATTCATTTTTGCTTGAGTTACCTATGGTTTTGAAATCATAAAAATGGCCAAGACCAGACTTAAAGAACTTTTTCCTTGTACTTTTTCTAGTAGTTTCATGGGCTCTGGTTTTATATTTCAGTCTTTACTATATTTGGACTTAATTTTTGTGAGTACTGTAAAACAGGGTCCAGGTTCACTCATTTGCAGTGGATAGTCTGTCTTCCCCGCACCATTTACTGAATATGCAGCTTTTTCCCAGTGGTATATTCTTGATACCCTTGTTAAAAGTTAGTTGGCAGTATATGGATAGATTTATTTCTGGGCTCTCTTCTGTTCCTCTGTTTCTGTTTGTATGTGAGCACCACTGTAATGTATCTGTCCAGAATTCTTACTTCTTTCCCATAGTTCCAGTGTGTGTGTGTATGTGTGTGTGTGTATATATATATATATATATATATATATATATATATACACAGATATATTGAGATATACAGTATATTGAGATAAACAAGGAAGTAATGTTGGGTGAGATACAAGCACAATTTGCAAATAACACATACTGATTAGTAACACACTCTGAACCTTACCTAGTGTTAGCTGGGAGGGAGAAAAACCTTACCCTGAAATGTATTCTTTTAAAAACTAGCTAAGAAAAGAAGTGGTACATACGTGAGAAGTAAAATAATAGCATTTGTAGGTGATTACACCAAACAAGTCATAAGAGTACCACAGCATGCATTGCCATGGCTTTCGCCTGGGTTTGAGCAGATGGCCCAAGAGGGCGTGTTACCACAGAAAACTGGGGTATACCGGTCATGACTTTTGTGCCTTCTATGAAATGTGTTTCTCTTGCGATAGGAAATACAGCGTCTCTGTCTAACAAGATAGCCCGGTTGGAACAAAGAAAAGAGCCATGGACCATAGGCCCACATTCCTCCAATAGGAGAAACTTCCTGCGAAGCACCTGTGTCAAGGCAAAGTCAGTTCATGCTGTCCAGATCCCTGCGAGGAGTGCCGGAAAGACGTGGAGAGAGCAGCAGCAGTGGGGCGTAGAGGACGAGAAGATAGCAGGTGTGCACTGGAGCTACGAGGAGACCAAGACTTTCCTTGCAATTCTCAAGGAGTCTCGCTTTTACGAAACGCTCCAGGCGTGTCCCCGGAACAGCCAGGTCTATGGAGCTGTGGCTGAGTGGTTGCGGGAGTGTGGCTTCCTCCGCACACCGGAGCAGTGCCGAACCAAGTTCAAAAGCCTTCAGAAAAGCTATCGGAAAGTGAGAAATGGCCACATGCTGGAACCCTGTGCCTTCTTTGAGGACATGGATGCTCTGTTGAACCCTGCGGCCCATGCTTCATCTACGGACAAGCCAAAGGAGGTGATCTCTCTCCCCACACTAAAGAGAAGTGGTAGTGCGAAAGAACAGATCGCTCTGGTGGAGGAAGAAGCTGCAGAAGAATCTGATGGTGATGAAATGGGCATTGAATTTATCCACAAGCCTGAAATTCATGGTGCCCCTGTCTTATTTCAAAACCTGAGTGGTAAGAATTGTGCTATATGTATTTTTCCTAGTGTGAAAACAGAGTTTTATTCTTGTGGGCATCAGCTTTCTCATTTGTTACATGTGACGAAGAGAACTTCACTGGCTTGTGATAGTGTTCAGTGGGATACGGAGATGAAGGCGCTCCCATCTATAGCCGTACCACCCTGAATGCGCACGATCTCGTCTGATCTCAGAAGCTAAGTAGGGTTGGGCCTGGTTAGTACTTGGATGGGAGAGGTGAAGGCACTCTGAAATGCTAAAATATAATGTTGCCTAGTATCGCTGTTAGTAATATCTTCTCTACTGCAGCTTACTAAGATGATAAATTCTTAGATAGAATGGAAAGGTAAATCAAACTAGGAGATCTGAGAGTTCAAAATAAACAATTCTACCTCAAAGGTAGGAAAATTCATGCCTGTGCAGATACTCACCAACTTGAAAATGCATGAGGGTGGAGCTCTTGGGGTGGTCTCCGTGTGGGAAGCCGGGGTAAGACTAGGAGAAACCACTCAGTAAAGACTGAAAATAGAAAACAAGTTTTCCAAAAAGCATATTTAACAAATTATCTTTCGATGTCCTGTTCTGTTCTCAGTAGAGAACATTGATTAGGCACAACGTATCATCTCTCAAAAGTAGAACATTCACTGAGGATCCAAAACCACTCTGGGCATAGTTTTGATCTTCAGTGAAAACTGGCTAAAGAAGTGATAATCCAGGTGTGGCGGTGCACACCTGTAATCCCAGCACTCAGGAGGCCGAGGCAGGAGGATTTCTGCAAGTTCAAGGCCAGCATGAGCTATACAGTGAAGTCAAGGCCAGCGAGAATTAGAGACCCTGCCTCAAAAAACAAAAAAACAAACAAAAAAAGTGGTAAGAAATCCAGGGGGCAATTCCTGTTGGGCGTGCTAGTCCTTTATTCCTAACCACTAGAAGAGATACTTTCACACGGCTAACTCCCTCTCGTTAGTCTGCATAGCTATGGCAGCTTTTGGAGACTACACTTTAAATCGGGTGGGTTTTCAACTATATAGACTAGTTTTAAAAATTTCTATCTGTACAATTTGAGTCTTCTTCTCAAAAGATACAGTGTTTCATTTTTTCTAGTTCATTTATATCTTTTAATTTTATAGTGCAGATCTCATTTCTTACAAAGCTTATTCCTAGGTGTATCATATTTCCTGGTTCTACTATGAATAGGATTTTTTTTTTGGTACTGGGAATTGAACTCAAGACCTCATGCTTACCAGGCAGGCACATGCCACTGAGCTACATCCCCGGCCCTGAATGGGATTATTTTTACCCTTACATTCTGTAACATGTGCCATGTGGAAGCTCTGTGCTGCTTCTCTTACATCCTTGATCTTTCTCCTTGAATGACAGGTGTGCACTGGGGCTATGAAGAAACGAAGACTTTCCTTGATATCCTTCATGAGACTCGGTTTTATGAAGCACTTCAAGCTTGTCATCGGAAGAGCAAGTTGTACGGGGCCGTGGCAGAGCAACTTCGAGAGTGTGGCTTCCTCCGAACACCCGAACAATGCCGAACCAAGTTCAAAAGCCTCCAGAAGAGTTACCGCAAAGTGAAGAATGGTCACGTGCTAGAGTCCTGTGCATTCTACAAGGAGATGGACGCCCTGATTAACTCCCGGGCGTCAGCCCCTTCCACCAACAGCCCCGAAGAAGTCCCGTCACCCTCAAGTCAAGAAAGAGGGCCTATTGACGTGGAACCCCAGGCATCTACAGGCTGGGAACCTGAGAGGAGCTCCCGGGAAGCAGTAATAGAAGATTCTGGCAGTGAAAGAATGAGTGAGGAGGAAGTTGTACAAGAGCAAGAATTCCAGGGACTTCCGGGTCTTCTGCAAACCCCAAATGGTAAGAATCATCAAGCGTTTTTAGTCTAAAAGAGGAAGTGGGACTGACTAGGAAATCTATAGATCTGGCACATGACTCGTGCATATTAACTTAGTAAGCAGGTATTTGAGCACCATGTGCTGTTTGAGGAACAGGAGCTATAGAGTGAATGAAACAGGTCCTGTTCCCAAGTGCTTCCGTCTGGAGGAGGTACTTACCTACTCGTATTCTGGTGACTCAGTCTTTGGGATCTCAGCCTTAGTTTTTATCTGTGTGGGTCAGACGGTGTTTTGTATCCCTTGTGGAAGAACTTGGAACTACACATGAGAAAAAAATTGGGATGAAGGACGTGTGTCCACAACTTCAGGTCAGAAGTATCTCACAGTTATGTGATATATATGAAGAAAAAGATAGGCAGAGACTGCCTTATGGTCCTGTGCTCCACCAGCTTGTTTCCCACTGATCATTGGATGCCCTCATAGGCATATACTATTGGTAGCTCAAACTTAAGATACTTAAAGCTAAAATTACCGTCTTTCATCTTACAGCACAGCTCTCAGTGTGTTCTCCTACAGCTTATCCAGATTCAGGTCTTTAGGGGAAATTTTAATACCTTCTCATTCACCATTCACATTCAGGCAGATGACACATTTTTAGAATATCAGGTCGTAGAGTGTCACATCTGTCTGCCTTCTCTTTAGTTGCCATAGCCATGACCCAGGTTCGGTGTTGTTCTGTTTCTTGCCCAGACTGTTGTAAAATCTCCAAACCAGATATCCTCATCCACACTTTCATTAAGGTTTCACTGCCGTTCTTAATCTGAACTCATCTTTTGCTTCAAACCTTATTATTTATCTTTTCTTTCCACATGCTGTGCTTATTTAAAACAAAACTAGTCACAATTGCCTACACAATACTTAAGCTTTCACATCTAAACCTTACTTCACAATGTTCCGTCTGCCCTAAATGTCTTTGGCTCTTTATATCTCTGTGTACAAATTCTTTCTCAAGTCCCACAGACTGTCTCTGTTTTATGACACAGGACATTTTATGTGTCCTGGACTTCCCAATAAGTGGTGAGCTTATGAAGGATGGGAGTTTTTGCTGTAGATGTAGGATACGTAAGAACATATGAAGTAGTACAGGACTGATTTCTCAAAGCAAGTAATTCTCTGTCACCTGAATTGATCAGAGAATTGAGGCCCAGCCAAGAGAAAATAATGTCCTAATACATTAGAGAAGAGTGTTCATATATATCCCTGGCAGTATTATGTGAGACATTATGGTATAAAGGATAATTCCCATGTAATTTTGGTTTCAGTAACTCTGGAGACAAAATCCTTCTAAATCTTGTTCTCTAAAAATAACCTCCAGATCTGTCATCAAATTATCAGGCTCTGTCTGAGTTGTCTACTAGGTGGTGACATCCTTCAAATCCCAGAACAATGTCAGATGAAATGAGAGAACTTCAAAAGAACTCTTAAGTGAAAAATATGATTGGTAGATCGTTTTGCTTAAGTTAATAAATTGACTGATGAATGCCCATCTCTTCCCAGTCCACATCATCGCTGCCCTATTTAGGCTTGAGCATTATTAGCAGTTTCACTTGAATATGTAGAAGGAAGACAGTATTGAAATTGGCAAGTAGAAACAAGGCAATCTAGCACACACCTGAGAACAGAATTTTGGGACTCAAGCAAACGTGGACTGGGCTTGAGTTACTCAGCTTGTGAAATACTTACAGAAGACTCTAGGCTTTGTGGCTAAGGAGTCTGGGTAGAGGGAGCAGAACATGTGGGAATAGAGGTGAAACAGGATTAGCCATCCGTGGATCATTGTGAAAGGTAAATAAGAGGTTCACAGAAGTTCATCATTCCTGCTGCTCTCTTTATTTCTCTGTACTTTTCAATGTCCCATAATAAAAAGTCACAGTTAATAAATAACTGAAATGGAGTCAGACCAGAGATGTGTGACTCCACAGCTGAATCTCTTCATCATGTCATGCTGTCTGTCCAGAAAACTTCACAGAAAAGCTAGATCTAAGATGTACCTTCTAGTGAATGTGGGATGTAGCTGAAAGAGTAAAAAGTAAGTAATTCCAATTTGGGGAAGAGTAAGAATTAAGATTTGAGTTAGTGTGGTCTGTGGGACAGCCTCCTCCCAAAAAAAGAAAGAAAAAACTTGGCAAGGACATCTGAGAAGAAAAAGTGGTCTTGGATAGGATATAATTAGCTTGATGAATTTAGAAATTCCCTAGGAGTTTGGACCTAGTCACTAGAATCTGCTACAAAGACGTATAGTGTGAAATAATGAAAACAGTATGAATTAGAGCAGAGGTGCCCAACTTTTTTGGCACCAGGGACTGGTTTCATGGTAGAAAATTTTTCCCTGGGGTGTGAAGGGCATGTTCAGGATGGTTCATTCTCAGAGAAGCACACAACCAGGATCCCTGACCTGTCACATTGCAGTTCACAGTAAGGTTTAAGCTCCTATGAGAATCTAATGCCACTGCTGATCTTATAGGAAGAGGAGCTCAGGCAGAAATATAAGCCGTGGGAAGCAACTGTAAATATAGACGAAGCTTTGCTCATTCACCAGCTGTTTACCTCCTATTGTATGGCCAGGGTTCTAACTGGCCACAGACTGATACTGCTCTGTAGTCCAGGGTTTGGGAACCCCCGAGTACAGCTTCATGGAGTTAAGTTGCTTCCTGGTTAATCAGGAAAGGGTACAGAATAATTCCATTCAGAGAACATACATGAAGGTCTACTGTGTAGTGGGTATCATTGGCCCGCTCATGTGACTGAAAGAAAATAAGGCATCTCACAGAACACTCACAGACCGAGGTCCATGAAGTATAGAGGAATCATAATATGCTAAAGATTATGGGCCTGGTTGTTTATGTTAATGCAGAACTTGTGTTAATTTTTTTTTTTTTTTTTTTTTTTTTTTTTCAGATTTTAAAATTGGAAGTAGCCCCAGGGAGGATCCAACACAGGTAATATATAAGGACACAGAACCACACAGGGCATTAATAGAAAAATCTAAAAGAGTTGTTTCCCAGAATACTGATTCTAGCAGATATCACAAAAGGGAATGCCTCTCAGGAAGACAATGGGAAAACTTTCAAGGCATTCGACAGGGAAGGCTGATGCCCCAGCCTAGAGATCTCGGGAAAGCTGTGATGCATCAGAGGCCTTTCATAGGGAGAAGACCCTACAGAGTTCTCAAATATGGAGAGAGCTTCGGAAGGAGTGCTCGTCTTATGTGCCGGATGACCCACCCAAAGGAGAACCCTTATAAGTGTAGTGTCTGCGGGAAGTGCTTTGGTAGAAGCAGGAGCCTGATCAGACATCAGAGAATCCACACAGGGGAAAAGCCTTTCAAATGTCTGGACTGTGGGAAAAGCTTTAATGACTCCTCCAATTTTGGAGCTCACCAGAGAATCCACACAGGAGAGAAGCCGTACAGATGTGGGGAGTGTGGAAAATGCTTCAGTCAAAGCTCTAGTCTCATTATCCATCAGAGAACCCACACTGGCGAGAAACCCTATCAGTGTGGAGAGTGTGGGAAAAGCTTTACTAACAGTTCTCATTTTAGTGCTCACCGCAGAGTCCACACTGGAGAGAATCCCTACAAATGTGTGGACTGTGAGAAAAGCTTCAATAACTGCACAAGATTTCGAGAGCACCGGAGGATCCACACTGGAGAGAAGCCCTATGGATGTGCCCACTGTGGCAAACGTTTCAGTAAGAGTTCCGTTCTCGCCAAACACAGGGAAGTTCATGCGAGAGAAAAGCTCCTGCCGCACCCCACCTCTCTGTATTCCCCAGAGAACGCACTGAAGGGGAAGACTGATGACTTCAGGAAAACATTTTGATGATGGGCCTCGTTAGCCATCTTATCCCAGCCCCATTCTCAAAGGAGTCTTTCCTTAGACCTAAAGTGTGATTTGAGATGACATGAGACTTTTATCCTGTTCTTACCTCTGCCTCTAACTGGGTCATCTCTCCCTCTCTGTTTCTCCACTTCTCTGTAGTAGAGTGGAGAAGACACACTGTCTGAGTTCAGAATGAAGTTCTTTTCAGTATGTTGAGGTCACTGCTGTTGGATTCCTAAGTTCAGGAACATTCAAGATTTTTTCGAGTGGCTGAGAGGTGCTTTGGAGGAGATAAATGCCAAAAGGATGTTGTTGTTGTTGTTGTTGTCGTCGTTATCTACTATATGAGATCCTGGATGCAACTTGATGACATATTTTCACATTTTGGTAGAACTTTCAGGAATCTGATCACAGCTATGTCTGATCCTCCTCAATTCTGAAGATACTGACAAAAGGAGAGTGAATATTTTACAGCCTCCTTTAGAAACCTGATACAGTGTCCTTTTATTGTCAAGAAGTTGATCCATATAGCTAGGGAAGATTCTCTGTGTGATCACTGAAGTGTGTTACTAATGCCTCACTTTCTGTCACAATGAGAAGCAGATGATCATGCATCATCACCTTCTGTACCTGAAGACTTACATTCCCATGGCCACTGCTTCTCCAGCCCCCAGGTAATTTCAGGATATTCCTCTTGCTGTTTCTCACAAGGCTTACACTTACCTCTTAATTATTCCAGGTGCTCTCATCGGACTCTTCTGAACTACCATGCTATCTGCAGATTAAGTAGGATGCATGATTATGATGTGTCTCACTAAAATAAAGTAGGGTTTCAGACACATTCTTATTCTACCCTGTGACGTCTCTGGCTCTTACCTCAAATGTGACTGGTATGTTCGCATATTTCATACCTCCCAGCCCACATCTCAGTATAATACTATATAATAGTATTTCTGAAATCATAAGCAAATAGGAAAGAAGTAAAATGGAGACTTGAGTGTTTAGTGGACTCCTTAGGCCTGATTTAGATCAGAGAATTGCCTCAGTCCAAACCAACACTTTTAGGCCCAGCTGTTAGATATACCAATCTCTGTCTGAGGATTCAATTTCTTGTTCATAGGATTATAAGCCTAACTGTATGGCCCTGAATAATTGTACAGCACTACAGCTCACTAAGTGAAAATGGAAATATTTATAGAAACTTCCAATCCAGAATGCCATTTTTGTTTTCCCGATTTAGGTTTGTCTGAAAAAATCTCTTTGCTAACCCCCCAGCACCACCCTAATAAATATAGACAGAATTGTTTAGATGGGGGAATAGTTAATGCATGTATGGAATTACAGATGAAACCCAGGGATTTGATCTTTTAAAGCCAGTTGCTTCAGGATGAGGCCAGTGGCATTTATACCCTTAATACACAGCTTACCTAGGGTGGCTTTGCTTTGGGGTGGGAAAAGTCACGAGTTTAGAGAAAAAATAACCAGAGTCAGGACTATATGTAGATTATTCTTTTGTTTTTAGCTCTCCCTTCTTTGTCAAATGCTGCCTTATCTAAAGGCACCAAGGTGTAATAATTTTCCTTCAAGTGTGTTCCAATCTTTTGAAAGCTGTTCAGCAAAGTACTAAGGAGAGTAAGCACTAGCAAAAGAAATCCAGTGTATGGTGCCAGAATAGGATGTGGCCTGTTGGAAGGCAGGTGACTCAGGTAAACGCTGATGAATGTTTCTGATTTATATTTATTGGAAGTGTTCTGATTGTTCACATCAACATAGTTGATTTCTTCTGTGTTGTCTGAATTATAGACTTCTAATAGTACATGCAGTTTCATGTTGGTATTGTGCCTAGCACAGTAAGATGTGTGTGGTGCCAGTGGGCTTGTGCTTATATTGTTTAGATGTTTTGGAATTCCAACTCCAGAGAAGATGCACATTAATATAAATCAGCACTTAGTAATATGTACACAGGATTGATAATTATATGGAAGCATGATTCAGGAAAGTAGATGATATATTCATAAATATTTAATAAGCACTATTTTGTGTAAGACCACGTTCTAGCTGTGGTGGGATATACAAAAATTGTAAAAGGGGGCATGATGCCTATACTTACGGAAGTTACAACATAATCAAGGATGTATTGAGGCAAAAAATAATGCCCATTGTATCCATGTTGGTTATATAAGGTCAATCAGGAAGAAATCATCTTCACTTCTGAGCAGTTTCTTTAAATTACAAATCTGAAATCATATTTGGTACCACTGTTCCCACACTTCCCCAATGGCAGGAAAGGTTCAAGGCCTAGTTTGTCTCCAGTGGAACAGTCTCTCATATATGGGATCACACTAAGGTGAAAGTTATGTTCCCCTCCTTACATTCCTGATTGTAAATGAGCTGTTGGGCATGCTTTAATGAATATATCTCTATTTTAACTAAATAGAAGATCTCACCCTCCATTTTAGACCAAGTTTACTGTCTCCCTGCATTTTTTCTCTCTTCAAACTGAGACACGAAAGTTAAAATGAACAGTCACAGTTCTAAGTAGTTTGTCTTTTTTTGTGTGTGCGGTACCAGGGATTGAACTCACGATCTTGTGCTTGCCAAGCAGGCCCTGTTACCACTGAGCTATATCCCCAGCCCCCTAGTTTGTCTTTTATGTAACATAACATTGCTTTTACACAGATGGATAGGAAAATGTTAGGTTTTTTTTTTTCTAGATCTCAGCACTAGGGACGGCTTTGATTCTCAGCCAAAAAAAAACCTTTTTATCTTACAAACACTGTGATTTTATAACTTCCTACTTGCCCTCTGTTTTGGCTGCTAGAAAGCCCAGTAAAAGACCACCTCAGTCAACTACCTAATCCTGAATTTGTTTAAATCTGCTCTACTTTTTTGAGATTGCCTCAAATCCTATTTTTTAAAGGAGGTATAAACAAACATTTTACTTTCTGACATCTAAGGCATTTTAGAAACTGAGTTCATATTTCCTACGTAGATTTGTATTGATTTCCACAAATACCTCTAATTAGCACTGATTATTTTATTAAACATTTAACCTAATTCATCTGGAAGGAAACAGTTTTTTTAAAGACAAAAACTTCACATATACATAAATAGCTTAGGGCAGCCTGTTATTGGATCAAAAGCCAAAAAAAGTCTTAGTCTTGTGAATACCACTTACTAAGTATTATTTGACACATCACGGCCTTTCTTCAAGAAGTTGAACTTGACTGCCAAGATTGCTCAGGTGCTTACGTTCAAGAGGCTGTAGAGCCAGGCTGAGGTTGTGAGACCAGGCTCCCGCCTAGCCATCCACTGTGTGGAGCCTCTGGGCCATACTCAATCTGCTTTATGTGCAGGGGAGGGACAGTAACACCAAGGCCAGCTGAGGAATTGCTCACCAAGGAGAAAAGACAAGTCACTCACATTCAGCAACAGGCAGCTGCTTAGGCATACTGATAGGCAAAAGCAAGTAGCTAAAGTGAAGAAAGTCTGCTTTGTGAAATTTTGTGCCCAGTGACAGAGTCAGTGAGAAGAGAGCTGGGGAACCCCAGTGAAAGGAGTGCTGAGCAACCTGTGTAACTGTGAACCCTTGCCCCATATGAGGGCATTCAAAGACCTAGTACAAATGGATGTCTGTCATTGTTGTGTGTTAATGTTCACTTAGATGTCTTCTTGAAAACTTGTGTGTGAAATAAATGTCTATAATAAATGGCTCTCCTTGGTTTCTGCCATAATTTGAAGGATGTCTTTCTGTTAAGAGAAAAGAAAATTAAAGAAGGTAAAAGCTAATTATGTTAACTAATAAGAGAATTTCAGTTTCATTCCTGTTCACAGTTGCACTCCACAACTAGCAGAGAGTTATTTTTTGTAACTCCACTGCTATTCCTACATAACAATGCTCAGATTGCTGTCACTGCCTTTGTCCCAATTAATGGCTGTAATGCTATGGTTGTGTTGGCACTGGATAACACATAATGAATGTGTTTCTGATGAGGCACTCAGCCCTCGCCTAAAGGTATAAGAAATCATGAAAGTTAAAAAAAAAAAAGTGTAGGAGAGTTGAACTTTACCTACACTTAGGATCTTTGGCGGGACCTGTGGATAAAATCAAAATAAAACATGAGTAGGACACAAGTATATAGATGTCTACATTTTCTGTGTAGGAGGAACTATGCCCTAGTCAGTCTATTAGTTGCCCAGGTAATAGTTCCTGTTACAGTTACTGTTACTACTGTCTTCTAGAAACACCTGGTCAGTGTGATGCACAGCTGGTCATAATGATGCATATTGTAAGAACCAATCAAAGACAACCAAGTACTCTGCCTTTGTACTTCCCCTTGCAGACCCCATTCAAAAAACCTCCCTCCCTGAGCCTTTGGGGTCTGATAGTCTGGGGATGATCTTGATCAGTGCCCGTTGACGTAAATAAATCTGCCTCCAAATCCTGGGTGTTGTTTTGGTGTTCTGTTTGCCATTCATCTGCTGTGTTGGCTGGGGAAACTGACCATGTTGACCTCTTTGGTCACCAGTCATAGCCCTCACAGATGGAGCAAGACCCTCTCCAGGTCATGATGGGAAGGCATGCCCTCAAGATTTCTTGAGTCCGCTGAGAGGTGTGGAGGAGGATTTTTGCTCCCTGCTGAGTGGCTCACATCAGACCCAAAAGGGAGGAGGATGTAGTCTGCCTGCTTGCCTGCCTGATTCAGGTAAAACCCCCAGGAGCACCCCAGTTAGTCTATCTGTCCTGCTCAGCTCAAGCAGAAGAAGAGCCTGGTCACCTCTCATTAGTCAGGACCATCCTCCAGGGAAAGGGCTTGGAATGTTTAACTTCTGGGTGCCTGCTGAATAAATGTGTGAATGGAACAGACAGCATAAGCAATAGGCTGCTCTGTCCATGGACCAAGACTGGGAAGCACTGGCCATGGTGGCTGATGGGGCCCTCACCTGCAGTTCCATGGAGACCAACATATGATGTAACAGAGGCTCTGAAACCTTCCTTAGCTAAGTCATACCTAAGCCCCCACAGAGGGCGTGGCCAAGTGGGCATCTAAATGATCTCTCTCTGAGGGGCACCCACCCTTTGTGTGTTGCACCACTGTTCAAGGGTACACAACACACACACACAGGAAGTCAGAAATAGGAACTAATTAGTCAAAACCCACAGTCCCTGAGTGCAGGAAAAAGGGCTTTATTGAAATTACAGAGTTAAAAATGAAGCCAAACTGCTCCTTGCATCTCAAAAAATAAAAAAGAGACCCATTCTTCCTGCAAATTCTCCCTTGGCCCCCTCATTGGCCACCACAGTTA